CGCACCGTGGGGTCCCTTCGCTGGTCTTTGACCAGCTCGCCATGCACCGACTTCCCTTGCCCAGGCGCCCTCCGGATGTGTGGGGACACTTTGCACACACCCCCACCCCGTCTCCCCCAGACCCAACACCTCACGCTGAACGGCTGCTCCTTGTGTGGCCTCGCTGTCCAGTCCTACGCCGTGAGTTCCCACCCAGTGATGGCTGTGCCTGCTGCGTGATTTTCCTCCAGTGTCTGGACACCGAGCGGGCACTTCCCTCAGCCTGTCGCACACACGGGACCTCCAGGCCCTGCATGACAGGCGACAGCACTGTCCTCGGATCACACCATCTGCCCTTCCCCTGCCCCATCTGCGCCCTGGGCCAGCGTGGGCTGAGGAGGTGGGCGCAGAGGAGGCGCCTGGGGATGTCCCCTCCCCCACTCCCACCTGCTGTGCGCGGCAAGGACCCGAGGGGCAGCCAGCTACCACCTCTGCTCTGAGGACCGCTCCAGGCTGCAGAGGCAGGGGCCCGGGTCAGAGGGCACCGACGGCCTTTCTGGCCCGTAGCGGAGCTGGGAGCTGCTTGGCCGGGCTCCTGGGGACGGGCACGCGCGCCGGCCCGCGGCCCAGCCCGCAGCACTGCAGCCTCGCCCTCCGGGCCGTTCAGGCTGCTGCCCTTGGCGTGGCCTGTCCGCGCCTAGTCCTCCTATGTTTTTTAAAGGCCTGAAAATGCCCGGCATTGGTTAAGTGTTTTTTATTCACTTTTCAGAAAGAAAAAGGGCTCTGTCCTGAGTCCCCAAAGGAAAGTTTCAAAAGCTGCTTCCGACTCCGAAGCAGGGCACTGCTGCCGGGCAGCTCGGCCCGTGGAGGCCTATGTGCCCCCCCCACCAAGCGCTCGCCCCCCGTGGGGAAGGGGGCGGGCAGGACGCCTCCGCCTGCTCGCAGGGCCTGAGGCTGGTGCTGCCTCCCCTCCCGCTCCCCCCTGGGAGGTGAGGCGTCTGGCTGGAGCCCGTGGGCGCACGCTCACCCGGCACAGCACTGGCTGGGCTCTGCCACGCCTGGTCCCTGCCTCACAGCTGCAGGTTACACGGCTGTATCCGCTTTGTCTTTTTGCCCTAGACTCGTTCTCCCCGTCTTGCTGCCCACACGGGCACCGCCGGCCGCCCAGAAGCTCTGGCCCTGTTGCTGTCCCTTGGCCCTGTCCCCTGCACCTCATCTTCCTGCTCCCACCCTGTCCTCCTTGTGCGCCAGCCCCATGTGCCTCTCCTTCCCCTCACCCCCCTGCACCCCACTCCCCTGCCGTCCCTGTCCCCTGGTGGTCCCACCCGCACCGTGACTACCCCACTCTGATGGGGTACACCCCCGACGCCCTGCCCTCTGCTGGTCCACCTCCGGAAGCCCCTCCTCCTCCCTGTGCCCGCGGGTTGCGGGGGGACGGGGGGAGCCCTGCAGGAGCCGTGGGCCGTGGGCCCTGGGACCCGGCGGAGCTCCTGTCCTCGCGCTCTGCAGGTGCCGTCCGTGTCCAGTTCCGTCTTGCATTCGGGGCGAGGGTCCTGAGATCGCAGGCCCGTGCGGACCCCCAAGTCCTCGGGGCCTTGGGCAGCTGCTGCCCTGCTCTCGGAGTTCAGCGTGTTCTAGCCTCACACGCTCAACCCGGGGACACTGGCTCCGCTCCCACGAGCTTCTCTCTCAGGCCGTCCTCGTCCCGGCGCCCCGTGTCTCCCTGGGGGTTCCTGTCGGTGGGCGTCGGGGCTCCGGCCTCTGCCCGCTGTGCTCCGTGTCATCGCTGAGGAGGGCACCACCTGGGGCATCGTCCGCCGCGTGGCTGTTGGCGGTGGTGTCCGTGGCTCGGTCGTGGGCAGACTCTTCCCTGTGCGTCCAGGGCTCAGAAGTCGGCGTCGTCGTTTGCAGTGCTCCCTTCCCCTCCACGTGTCCCCTCGACTCGCTGAGTGTGTGGCAGTGGCATCTCCTGGTGCGTCTGGAGGTCCCTGGCGCTTGCTTGCCCGGGTGGCTGGCTGGTGGGCTTCGTCACCGGTGACAGGGCTGCGGTTCCCGGGCCTGGCGTTGGGACACAGCTGGGGGGAGCAGGATGGACACGCGCCTTCCCTCCTCCAGCTTCAGAGTGGCCCCGTCTGTTCTACTTTTGATTAAACTGGCCACAAAGCTCCCCTGGCGAGTGTGATTTGGGGTTCATGGGGACTGGCTCTCATGCTTTCTGTGCTCCGGGCCCCTGGCGGTGCCCTGGGGACACAATGGTGACGAAAAAGACCTGATGCTGATGCTCCTCTGAGCTCAGTCCACAGGAGGAAGTAAGCACTAACGAAGGACTTTTCCAGTAACCTGCCGCGTTTCAGTAAATGCCGTGGAGGAGGCCACGGTGTCCCCTGAGAACACACAGCACGACACCAGGTCTCTCCCATGGTCCTTTGGTGGGCCGTGTGAGAGCTAGCTCGGCCATGATGGCCACAGGGCACATCTTCCCCCAGGATCTTCGAGTTCTGTCCAGGTGACCTGGGCCCTCGCACGGTGTGGGGCCGGACGCAGGGCAGAGGGCCTGACCCTGTCACCAGGGCCTGCCTGGGCCCAGGCTGCGCACCGCTCCGTGGCCATCACGGAGGCCTCGGGGCAAGTGGCGGCTTGGCTTTGGAGTCTGGCCACCCTGAGTCCTGGTCCCAGCTCTGCACCCAGGGGCTTGGGCCATCCCCGTGGCCGCTGCCTCCACTGTGAAGAGCTGACTTCCCCGCAGGGGGACAAGGCCGCCACAGCACCCACTCTGCTGCCGCAGTCCTCCTGGACTCAGACCTGGGCCAGGCCGGCCACCAGTGGCGAGCTGGACACCATGTCTCCCTCCCTGGTGTTTGTCCTAACAGTGGGAGCCATTGCTTCACGAGATCCCAGAGGCAGAGGTGCTGGAGGTCGCTGTCACCCAGCGTGTAGCCGCAGGACAGGCCCGGCGGCTGTCAGCAGGGTCGGACCCAGTGCCCTTCATCTGTAGCCCCGCTGGCCGTGGCGGTTGCCGCAGTCTGGCCCGGGTCAGGTGTGGGCCTGGCTCACGCCTGTAGGAGAGGAGGGACGTGGACGAGCCACCCCGGGGCCGCCCTCCTGAGAGCCATTAGCATCTTTAACACGATTCCGCTGCTGTCTCCCGCGTGCGCACCTGAAGGCCCAAGCAGTGCCCGGCGTTCAGAGGGAGGGCTGGCAGGAAGGGAATGGAGCCTCCGGTGCGTGCGCTCTCAGTGCATCAGAGGCCCGGGCCGTCTTCGTGCGCCCCGTCTCTCCGCGCGCCCCGTCTCTCCACGCGCCCCGTCTCTCCGCGCGCCCCGTCTCCGCGCGCCCGCCTGCCCGCTTCTCCGTTGCTCTTCCCACCCTCTAGGGTACAGCCACGTCCAGCTTCGTGGCAGCAAACAGCCCTCAGGAGACCTGTGCCCGCACACACTTGTGCCGATGTCTTCCCCGGGGGAGCTGCGCCCCTCTCCTGCCAGCGCCTCCGTGGCAGTGTGACCCACCGTTGTCCTGCGTCCTGCCCACGGAACCTTCACAGCCGCCTTCTGGCTCCCAGGAGGTGCCCGGAGTGGCAGCCGGGAGCGCTGCCCGGTATCGGGTCCTCGTTCAGACCCGGAAAGCAGCCGGCCGTGCAGATGGTCTGGGGTCGCGTTCAGGCCCCGGCGAGTCCAGTCCCGGAGCGCCAAGGGGCAGGCAGTGTGGTGGTCGCGTTTGGTCCTGGAGTCGGGCAGGCCTGCCTCTGCCTCGCGTCTGTGGCCGAGTGTCAAATCTTTGTGTCCCTTGCAGCCATGTAGCCACCTGGGTCCCCATCAGTAGGCAGCACCTGGGCCCCACGGTATTCACGGCCACCACAATCCAGTGTGACCCTCACAACAGACTCTGAAGGCCACCACTTAGTCCACAAACCCCGGCAGCCAGAGGGCCCGGCACTGGGCTCTGGGCCGCAGGCGAGGAGGGCAGCGTGGGGCGGAGGCCTCCACTGGCTTTCTCTCCCAGGGATGCGGCTGCCCATCCCCCGCCCTGTCCTCCTCATCCCCAGGAAGTGACCCTGACTGAGTCTGCTGCCCTCCAGCTGCTGGACTCGACGCGGCTGGCTCTTAGCTCCACCAGGGAGCTGGCAGTTAACGGGCCTGGACCGGACGAGGGCGGCCTGAGAAGGAGGGGCCATGTCCCTGTCTGCCGAGGATCCTGGGACCCACAGAGCATGCAGGGAGGGCCAGACTCAAATCTGGGGCTCGGAGGCCTGGGATTCCCCACAAGCCCCTTGGCCGGCTGGGCCCCGTCCAGCTCCAGACGGGGCATTGGGTAGCACTAGGCTTAGGCAGAGCCAGCCTTCCTGGTTAGTGGGGTACGTTGAGGTGCCGTTGGGGCCAGGGCACTTTGGGTGAAGGGTTCAGTGCATATGCACCTGTTGGCTTCACATAGCTGGTTTCTCTCCATGTGGCTGTGAACTGCAGCGGGTGGCCCAGGGGCCTCTGCCCCGAACCGTCCAGTTAGAGCAGCCAGCGGGGCGACAGTGGGCCTCGGGGGCCCGTCCAGACCCTGCCTCCGAGGGAGCTGCGGTCTTGTCCCCGGGCGGCCCGAGGCAGCACAGTCCAGAGTCTCCGTGCTGGCCGCTGCTGCCGACTGGGAGTGCCTGCCAGCCTCCGCCTGGGGACCCCGGGCTGCAGCCCCCCTCCTCCCAGCGCCCTCCCCTGAAGCCGTGGCATGGGGCCAGCCCACCCCCGCGCCCTGACTCAGGCCGGTCAGCAGTGCTCTTGTCATTCTGCTGGCCGAGAGCTGGGCCAGGCGTGGGGTCGGCGGCCAGGGCCTCGGGCACCGTCATTCTCAGCGTCACCACCTTTAATGGAGCGGCTGCGTCACCGTCAGCACCAGGCCAGGCCGTTGGTCGGCTTGTCCTTTGCCCTCGATGGCTAAGCACACAGATCAAGCGTCTCTTTCCGCCTCGTAGCCGGTGATCTCTGACCCTGGCACCTGCTGCCCCTCTGGCCCGTGACTCACCTCCTTCTCCTCCACAGAGCTGAAGAAGCAGGTGGAGAGCGCGGAGCTGAAAAACCAGCGGCTCAAGGAGGTTTTCCAGACCAAGATCCAGGAGTTCCGGAAGGCCTGCTACACGCTCACGGGCTACCAGGTGGACATCACCAGGGAGGGCCAGTACCGGCTGACGTCCATGTACGCCGAGCACAAGGACGACTGCCTCGTCTTCAAGGTAGGACCGGGGGAGGAGGGCGGGCCCCGGCCCCGCTCCGGCTCTGCCCACTCTCTCCTGCCCCCGAGCTCAGCCCGCTGCCCCCGTGCCTAGGCGCCCGGCTTTTCAGAAACAGAGCCGTCGTTACCCTTGGGTCAGCCACAAGGAGATGGGGGTGCTGCTCAGCTCTGCCCCTGGACCCGGGGCTCGGGCAGGGTCATGAGGGGTTTGGGGCGCAGGTGGGCGGAGGTGCTGGCGGGCAGGTTTTGGCTGCAGGGCCTGGCGCTGGGCTGCATGTGACACGGTGCAGCCCACGCGTCTTCCTGCACGGCGGCCTCTGGCTCCTGGAAGTCAGCGTCTGGTGCCGGTTGTGCCCCGCTTTGGTCCGGGGGTCCCGGGAGGTCTGAGCTCGCCTGCACGTGCTTCGGCCCATTGGCTCGGGTTGGTGGCTATCTCTGACCCACCATGGAGTGTCTCGTCAGAAACAGGGTGGAACTCGGCGGGTAAAGCGACTGGATGCAAGCCACATGGGCTGGGAGGGGCCAGAGCCAGAGGTCAGTGCTGGACCGTGGGCTGCACGGGAGCCAGGGCCTTGCCAGGGCCTTGCCAGGGCCTTGCTCAGCCACGTGCCCAGGGCCTGGCACAGGAGAGCGCGCCCCTGCCGTGGAGTGCACAGTGAGATGGACAGAGCCCGTGAGGGGGAGGCTGCAGAGTGCTGGGGATCGAGACAGGGCCAGAGCACACATCCCGCTTCCTGTCTTGGTCACCCCACTTTCTGCCCCAGCTCAGCGCCTCCCCACACCAGCTCCCACAAGAGCAGCAGGGACTGGAGTTGGGGGCGGTCTCCGTGGGAGTCGAGCTGGTTCCGCGTACGTGGGCCAGGTGAGTCCTGTGTCCCTCCCCAGCTGTGCCGGCCTCTCCCAGGGCAGAGAGGACCTAGACAGAGGACAGGCGGTCCGTATAGGATCCCCCAGGTGCCCAGGCAGCCGCAGGCAGGACCCGCTCCAGCTACAGCTGGGTCAGCTGCAGCCGCCGAGAGTCCAGTCACAGACCCAAGACCACCGAGCCTTGGTCTCCGTCTAGAGCAAATGCTGCCGTCCACGGCCGTGGGGAGCCAGACGCACACCCACCCCGTCCGCCACTGGATCCTCTTATAGGGGGGTGACTAGCTCTGCCCCACCGTGATGAGCACCAGGCAGGGCATTGGGGGTGGCGGTGCTGGCATGCTGCTGGGGCTCCTGGCTGCCCCCTCTGTGGCCTCTGTCCTCTGCCTCCGCTGGCAGAAGCCACTGGGCTCAGGAAACGACAGCTGCCCGGCCCACTGGCCTGCTGACGTGGCGGTCTCTGCAGGCTTTGTGGTGGGTGTGTGTGCGTTGCTCCTGTCACTCAGAGGCCTCCTTAGAGCTCGGCTCCTCCGTGAGGAGGGTCCCCTCCCTGCCCCCAAATGCTGGAAGCCCTGAGCCTGTGAGCTTCTCTGTGGGCCTGAGCTGTCAGGCCCTTGGGGGCCCATGGGCGGCCCTGGGAAAGCTTCCCCCTTGGCAGATGCCGAGTGGACAGGTTTGGAGGTGTCAGGCCCTTTGGCAGGAAAAGTCTGACCAGGGAACCAGGACTGGCGGTGCTGGTAGGTCCGCGTGTCACCGTGAGACTACCGAGCGCAGCCCGGAGGGTGTCCCCACGCAGAGAGGCTGCCCTGCGCCTCGTCCTGGCATGCGGACTGCCCCTGAGGGTTTGTGGGGCCGGCGGGCAGAAGGGAAAACAGCAGACAGCCGGCGACCGTGGGACCCAGGTGGCTCACACCACCTGCAGGTAGCCAGTCTCAGCCAGGGACACAGGCCGCGGCCGCGTGTCCCAGCAGTGCGCAGAGGGCTCAAGCCATCCATGTGTGTGCAGCCTGACCGGCCTGCGCCCCGGGCTGGGTCACCTGTTCTGCGGGCTCAGGTCCCACCCGAAATGGAGAGCTCGGTCCAGACGCTCCCTGGGCCCTCGCTGTGGCCTCTGGGCTCAGAGTCGCCTTCATCAGGGTGCGGGAGGTCTCGGCGTGGGCCGGGGGCCGGCGTGCAGACGCATGTGGAGGCGGCCACGGCAGGCTGGGGCAGGGGCGCCCTGCATGGCCACCTCAGTTTACTTTACTTTCCCAGAGATGATTTCTCAGGCGGGAAGGGGGCTGACGGCCAACTCAGAAATGGCCGAGTGCTGTCGGGCTGAGCGGGCTCTGCCCGCGTGCGCTGGGATCACTGGGGTTTAGGGCTCAGCCCGCAGGCTCTGCCGGAGGGTGCGGCTCCCGGCGGCCTGGCCTCCCTGCCTCTCCCGCCCGCCGTGGCTTCGTCTTCACAGCATGACGGAGGCTCCAGGGCGCTCAGCGCGTCATCTGGGCTCACGCCTCTGATGGACCAGGAGGCAGAGGCCGGGAGGGCGGTGGCTTTCTGGTCACTCCACGCAGTGCGCCCCGGCCTTCGATCCTTCCTGAACTGAGCTAGTCCGTTTGGAGCTGTCCGAGTGCCAGGGGCGGGCTGGCTTTGCCTTCTTTTGTCTCCAGAGCAGAGGGAATGCTGGCCACAGAGGCTCTTGGGCTTTTCCACAGGAGCCTGGCCCTTGGCCTCAGCCTCCTCGTGTGACCCGGCCTCAGCATGTCCTTTCCTGCCTGGCCGGAAGACACTTCCTGTACCCAGGGCACCTTGCCCAGCTCGACGGGGGCCAGAGCTGTCCCCCAGCCTGGGGCTGAGGCTGTGGTGTGAAGCCAGGGTGTGGCCTCCGGGCCAGTGAGGAGCTGGGTGGTCCCTGGGAAAGGGGGCTTCTGCAGACGTGGACAACCCCAGACTCAGCTCTCTGGGCTTCCAGAAATGCTGCTCCTCTTGGAAGAAGCGCCTATTATTCATGACCAGTTTCCCTTCTGGTCCCTCAGACCAGTAAGTGGATGAGTGGACGGGACTGCCAGTGAGCCTGAGCGCTGGGCTGCGTGCAAGGGCTGCCGGGCCCGGGGCAAGCTGGCCTTGTCCCTGCTCTGTGCAGTCCTCGGCCATCTGCTTACGCAGGCTGTGTGGTCAGCTCAAGGCCCGGCGAGGGAGGATGGTGACAAGCCCGTGCATCCAGGGGCGGCCCTGCCAGGAGGGGCAGGGCTGACGGGGTCCCCTGGGGTCCCGGGGGACAGACCGAGGTGCTTTCTCTTTGCCCCCCACCCCCACAAGACGCCCGTCGGAGGAAGCCGACTCTGGAGCGATCGGTCTAGCTGGTGACGGTCCAGACAGACACTTGCATTTGAATTTGACTTTTGTGGGTCCTCTGAATCTCAAATGGAGCTGCTTTGAATGCATGGTGACTTCAGAACCTCTCTGGAGGTGCCTGACTCAGGATGCTGAGCAGCCACAGGGTGCTGTGGTCCCAGCCCGTCTGCCTGGCCACACGTGCCTCCTGGGACATGGGGGACAGGCAGGGCCTGGGTTCATCCGGAGGGTGCCAGGCCGAGCTGCCGCGTCCCAGTGGGGGAGGGGCCGGCTGCTTTGGGGGACCTGGAGGTGGGGCTGGACAGCAGGACTCCCAGGGTGCAGCCCTCATCAGCACTCAGAAAGGCTCCTCGCCCTCGGGGCATAGACGGGCGCAGGGAGTAGAGAGCGGGCTGACTTGCTGCAGTGGAGGTGATCAGGAGGCTGATGACTTCTTGGCAGTCACGAGACGAAGCTGGGGTCGGACTAGGTGAGAGCTTCTTCCCAAGGAAGTACCCAGCTCCTCACAGCGGTCAGTGGGCCCCCGACTGAGGGTGGCACGGTGCTGTGGAAAGGTCCGGGTTCACCCCAGCAGCACGTGCAGAGGCCCAGTAGTCAGGGCTGTAGGGCCGAGCCCCAGGCATGTTGAGGCAGAGAGGGGCGTGTCTGGGAAGGCTGAGTGGGCGGGGACTCTGGCCCTCGGCCGCTGCTGCAGACCCTTCTGGAACTTCCTAGTGGGGCAGAGGGGCTGCGCACATGGGGTGTCTGCCCACTGAGCGCCGGATGTGGGGTGCGGGCTGTGGGGTGCGGGGCTGCGGGGTGCAGGGCTATGGGGTGTGAGCTGTGGGATGTGGGGTGTGGGTGCAGGGTGCGGGATGTGGGGTGCCGGGGGCTCCAGCCAACTCCCCTCCTCTGACCACACACAGAGCAGTGTCTGTGGCTTTGCAGTCGTCACAGTCATTGTAGGAAATCTATCGAAGCGTAATGAAGTACACAGACTGACCTTAAACCACTCGTGATCTGTCTCCTGCGATGTCACCGCACCAGGAGCGTCCCGTGGTGCCCCGTCACCGCCCCCGTGTGGGCTTCTGTGCTCCGGCAAGTAGGGGCCATGGCGAGTGGCGCTGGGTCCGCTTCCTGCATTTAGCGCCGTGTGGTGAGCGTTCCGCGCTCCAGCGCCCCTCACGTTGACGGCGTCTGGGGGTCGTCGTTTTGTGGCTGCGTCATAACTTATTAGCACGTTTCCCCGTGGTCGGACGTTTAACTGGTCCCTCTTTGGACTTACTCACGTGTCTGCTCACTGTCGTGAGCAGCGTGGCAGTGACTCGTCCACGCAGACCCCGTCCGCGTCTGTCTTCAGACCGGGCTCCAAGCTCCGTACTGGGCGAATCGCTTCAATGACGAGGCTCAGGCTATGACCCTGAGCTCCGTGGGGAGCTTTCGGCACCGTGGACAGCGTCCGGGTTAACGACGCTCGTCACACCCGCTGTGACGTGTGGGGCAGCGCCTCACCCCGTCTGGCACCAGGTCAGCAGACTGGGGCCCGCGGTCCCGGCCAGAGGCACCCCCAACAGACGGACAAGTGCCGCGGTTCACCCTTCCACCTGGTCTCCAGTGCCCACCACGAGGCCGCCACCGAGAGCAGCTGCGCCCCGTCCCACGGCGTCTCAGGGTCCGTCCTGTGGGCCGCGTGGACTCCGTCCCGTCGGGTTGCGGAAGAGGCCGCCTCGGGGACCGGCCCGCGGGGCTCTGGTCACCAGGAGGCCGATCGCTCACCGAGCGACGTTGGCATCGTACGTCCCTCAGGCCTTCAAGTCTTCC